CGCCCCCGGGGAAGGCCGTGGTGGAGACCCTGTGTATGAAGGCCGTCAACCAGTCCATAGGTGAGCCAGGTGCCCGCCTGTCAGGACGGAGGGCAGGGGCGGGAGGCTGTGGAGCTGTTCTAAGTCAGAGCAGGTTTAGCCATATCCTGACTTGCTTCCATCCAGGCAGGGCCGTGAGGCACCAGGGGGATTTCGCCAGCATAGTGCTCCTGGACCAGCGCTACGCCCGCCCGGCTGTTCTGGCAAAGCTGCCCGGCTGGATCCGAGACCGTGTGCAGGTCAAGGCCACCTTTGGTCCTGCCTTTGCTGCTTTGCGGAAGGTCAGCCTTGCTTTCGCCCTCCTGTACCCCCATGCCCACCCTAGCATGGCTCCTCACTGCCTATGTGTCTCCTCAGTTTCATCGGGAGAAGTCGGGCCCCTGCTGAGGGGTGGCTACATGGCCGCCTGCTACCAGGTTCTTCCTACACTGCCCGCGGGAGATGGTATGGTCTCGGGCCTGGTCTGCAGGGGTCCTATGAAGAAGGTGGAATCCCATGGAGGGTGTCAGTCCAGACCAGCCCCTCCAAGAACCAGTGGCTGATGGGATCAAGCAAACAGGAAAGGCAGTAGGAGAATACCAGGTTAACCCAGGAGCCTTCCTAGACAGCCCAGCGTAGACTCCACCCCTGATCTCTGTCCTGCCTGCATCCTCTGGATCCACCTTTGCAGAGCGTTCCTGGGCTGGCCAGCCTCTGCCCTTCAGCGCTCTAGACCTTTCACTCTCACCCAAACCTGACACCATCTCATTTCTGGCCCCTGGTGCTCAGAGGGCTGCTCTCCAGGGGCTTCCTGTCATCTCCACTACCCCCTTGGTCCAGCCCCTCTCCTGCAGCCTGCTCCCTCACCTTTGCATAGCCCTCCAGGATTCTCACCTCCCTGGCCTGGCTCCAGGTCCTCCCTCAGCCACTTGAGCAAACACCAAGGCTCCCATGCCGACACCAGCAGTTACCTAGGGCCATGAGGCTCGCAGCATGCCTACTTTTGGAGACCCTATGTCTGAGACAGTTTCCTGTGGAAAAGCACACCCTCTTGTGACAGCTGCTCCTGCCAGCAGCACTTCTCCCTGACCCAGAGGGGCCTTGTTTCACCAAACACTGTGCCTGCTGCCCGGGGCCCACGGCAGGTCAGCTTCCCCGGGGGCATGCCTGCATCCAGCATGCTGTAGCCCATGATTAAAGGCACCCGCTCTATCCCAAGTCTTTGCATTACTTTTTATTGACTTCCCAGCTGCTTTCTGCAAGTCTCTTCAGTGGAGAACAGCCTAAGGACACAGGAGTGGGGCACAGGGAAAGCTGCGCCACCTCTACCCTGTGGCCTCAAGCCTGCCTCTCAGGTCCAGGCACACCTGGACGGTCCCACCATCCCTGTCCCTGTGGGGGCAGCAGGGGCTGAGAGATTCTGCAGGCGAGGGGCCCAGCTGCTGCTTTCTTCTCAGGGCAATAGTCCCAGCCTGAGTTTGGGGGAAGGACTGGCCAAGGCCCCCTAGGATTCCCAGTCATCCTCGTCCTCCTCTCCTGGTGGCTGCTGTGGGGGAGGCAGAGGTGGGATGGAGTCTGACATCCAGGTAAAGGCTCCTCCTGGCCCCTCACTGGCCCCGGTCCCAGGGCCTTTCCCGGAGATGCCTGGGAGGGAAGAGGCTGAGTTAGAAGTTGACCCAGGCCCCCAGAAACCTGAGATGGTATGTGTGTGGGATGCAAATACCCAAGGCGGGCCAGCCTGGCCGAACCTACCTTTGCGCCTCATGGCCAGCTTATTAAAGAGATCCGACATCAGGTCCCCGCCTTGGCTCGTGGCTCTCACTGCAACAGAAAAGCCACATCAGGGGCAGGCGGTCCGGGACCAGGTCTCCAACTCAGTCACTGCTTTCAGCCCCAGGGTCCTCCCAGCCTACTCCACGGGCACCATGCCCACTACAAGCTCTCAGCACACTGGGCCGCCTGTGGGTGCAGTACTGGGCACTAGAAAGACGTCTGTGCTGAGTGGCATTCTTGAGACTGCCCTGGGGGTGCCAGCAAGTGTGGCGTCCCACCGTGGATGAGGATGCCCCGAGGGCTCCGGCAGCAGGGCTGGGCTGCCCACCCCAGACGTGGTGGACTGCCAGGCACCACATGCCCAGCTGTTCTGTCATGCCAGGTTGGCATCCACAGCAGACCTGTGGCCTCAGGAGGCTTCTGGAAGTGGGCTGGGCTAGCCCTCAGTTCTGTCTTAAAAATATCTCAGGGCCCTGGCGGTTTCCTCGGCAGCTCTTAGCCAAGTCTAAGATCCACTTTGGTCATAGTTGGAGCTCGGTGAGCTCAGAGGGAAGCTGTAGGAAGGAGCCAAGCAGAAGGGCTGAGGAAGGTGGGTGCAAGCTGGCCGGAGTGCTGGCCCCTCATAGGGTAGGGGCACAGCTGCTGCTGGACTTGGGGTTCTGCAGGGGCAAGAGCCCTCCGCCCAGAGCCCTCCCTGGGGTGGGTCCCTGACCTTGCTCCTGCTCCTTCTGTTTCTTCTTCTCCAACTTGCGCTCCTTGACGCTGCGCAGCTTGGCCTTGCCGATGCCGCCGGCCTGGCGGATGGACTCCAGCAGGGTGGCCCGGCCGCTTGACGGGTCGACCACTTCCTTGGGAGCTCCCTGTACTGGTGCTAGGAGCAGGGAGGGGGTGATATTTTGTTGCTTTAGATTTTTTCAGTAGACCTCTTCCCACTGGTTTACCTGGGACTGTGGGCCCCGGGCCCCCCCAGCCCAGGCTTGCTCTACCTATCCTGGAGGTTAGGGTCTCAGCTCTGCCACCCAACATGCAAACCACTATGAACCCCATGGAACATGATATTTGAAATGAGTACTCCTGAAAATCATTTAACAACCTACAGGAAGTCCTTCCGGGATTGACACAAGACAGAGCTGCCCTCCACCCCCACCCCACGGGGTAGGCACCCACCTAAAGGAGATTCACCACTGGTGCCGTCGTGCTCCCTGGCACCTTGGCCTGCAGAGGCTGCTGTGGGG